AAGAAGAGAGGTTTCTCTGTAAACCCTAAAGACTATAAGCTTATGGAAGAAGTTGGTTATGGTGCTAGTGCCGTTGTTCATCGGGCAATTTATCTTCCTACTAAAGAAGTCGTCGCAGTCAAGTGTTTGGATCTCGATCGCTGCAATAGCAATCTGGTTCGTTTTTAATCGAATCTCGTTTATTGTTTCTGAGTTAGCTTCAGCTTCATTTTCGATTTCGACGGTGCTTTTGTTTCTTGTGTGGTGTGTTCTTAGCTGTAGATTTGAATTTGGGGTTTCTGATTTCGAGACGCAAAATCGAGATCATGGGTTTGTACTGAAACTTCGTTTGGTAGTAAAAAGGAAAGCTATCATTTTGTTTGATGGGACTATCACCAAATGTTCTGTTTTTGTTGAGTTTTCGATCGAATTATTAGTCCTGATGATGAACTAATCCTCTGCTATCTGCCCATAGTATTAGTTGTTGATCATCTTCTCAGTTTGCTTCAGTTTAGTTTCATATTGTCTTGGTTCCGTTGCCGTAATTTAATGTGTTGTTTTTGGTTTTCTAGGATGATATAAGGAGGGAGGCTCAGACCATGAGTTTGATAGACCATCCGAATGTTATAAAGTCGTTTTGTTCTTTTGCTGTTGACCATAATCTCTGGGTCGTCATGCCATTTATGGCTCAGGGTTCCTGCTTGCACCTTATGAAAGCAGCATATCCAGATGGATTTGAAGAGTCGGCTATATGTTCTATGCTGAAAGAAACACTTAAAGCTCTTGATTATCTTCATAGACAAGGGCATATCCATCGTGATGTTAAGGTTAGTTTAACTTGAAGTTATTTTTGTTCGTTTCACACTGAACTTTATATCTCATCCATGTCTATTTTGTTTTTTTGTTTCTTTCATATTAGGCTGGAAACATACTGCTTGATAATACTGGGGAGATTAAGCTTGGTGATTTTGGTGTCTCTGCATGCTTGTTTGACAATGGAGATAGGCAACGTGCAAGAAACACATTTGTTGGTACTCCATGCTGGTTGGTTATTGTATTTTTCTTCAGCTTGGTCTTCTTAAGCTTCACAGTTGCTCTCTACTCACGGTTGACACGTCATATCTTGTTTCTGTTTGTAGGATGGCACCGGAAGTCTTGCAGCCAGGAAGTGGATACAATTCCAAGTGAGTTTATGCTAAAACACAAGAATTATCTGCCTGGTTCTTGTAAAATATAGCAGTTCACTTTGGTATATGTGTGTCAGCAAACTGGTCAAACTCGGCTTAGTTCTGTTTTAGTTGATCTAGACAGTGTTGTGGTTGTTTCAACCGCACAGCTGTTTAAAAGTTACTATCATTTCACTTAGTTGGTTGTATGCTAGTGAGTATTTTCTATGTCAAATGATATATAAAATCTTTAGAAACTGTTTGCTTCTAAGAAATGCAATAATAGCTATTGGCTGGTTTGATCTTATGCACCTTCCTCAGGGCTGATATCTGGTCTTTTGGAATAACTGCGCTGGAGTTGGCTCATGGTCATGCACCTTTCTCAAAATATCCCCCTATGAAGGTATTCTATACTTTTTTTAAGTGCGTTGAGAACATGTCTTATTCCTTTTTCCCGGTAACAGGTACTCTTAATGACTATCCAAAATGCACCGCCTGGCCTTGATTATGACCGTGATAAGAAGTTTTCAAAGGTACTTGTGTTCTTTCTGGGTAGATTCTTATCTTCTTTGAATACGTTATTATCCGTTGCAAGTATGTTCTAATTAGAGGATATCCAGCTGTGCCCAGTCCTTTAAAGAAATGGTAGCATTGTGCCTGGTGAAAGATCAAACAAAAAGGCCGACTGCTGAAAAATTGTTGAAACACTCATTTTTCAAGCATGCAAAGCCTCCAGAGATTTGTGTGAAAAAGTTATTTGCTGATTTGCCACCTCTTTGGACACGCGTAAAAGCTCTTCAGGTTTGCCATGCTTATTTCTTCTTCGAGCTTGCTGTGCTCGTCTTGTTTAACTCTTATTGATGAGTCATTGAATAACAGGCCAAGGATGCTGCACAGCTTGCTTTGAAAGGAATGGCCTCTGCTGACCAGGAAGCTATATCACAGGTGACAAACACGCTGAAATTATTGCTTAAGACTCGAATTACAGAATACTTAAAAGTTATTTTTCATGGCAGAGTGAATACCAAAAAGGAGTAAGTGCTTGGAAATTTGATATTGAAGATTTGAAAGAACAAGCATCTTTGGTAAGTTACAAAATTGAGAGTATCTCTGAAATGATACCATTTGAAAAACCATCGCTTTCTACCAAATAATCCTGTTCTTACATTTTTGTATATGTGTAATAGCTAGATGATGATGACAATCTAGAAGAGGGTAGGGAAGAAGATGAATTTTTTGGAGAACAGTTGCATAGTAAGGTTAGTAATTCGTAATGAAATATCCAGAGTCTATGGTGGTTTGAACTTAATTTAGAAACACATTGCAGGTGATTGACAGAGGGCAAGTATTTGGTCATCAACTGCCGCCTGAAAACATGAATGGAAAGGAAAAGGTTTCAGACACTGAGGAGGTAGAACCGATCTGCGAAGATAAATTACCTCTCAATTCAACCGCTTCTACTGTTGAACAAACAGCACCAAGTTCAGAGCATGAGGTTCCACAGACCAAGGCTAAGCCAGTGAGACGCCAGACTCAAAGTGGACCACTTTCACCTGGTATCATGTTAATCAACTCCGATTCAGAGAAGGGTCATGGTTATGAAAGGTTCGCCATTAGCTTATTGTTGTTTTAGATATCATTAGATTCCAGTATTCGACACTTTAGATCTGCTTCTCTTTTGTTTTTCCGCAACTTTCTAATGCTCCAACTTGATATTTTCTATTGGCTAGGTCTGAGATTGAACGGCAGATGAAACCAGCAGTCCGGAAGGCACCCAGCTTTAGTGGCCCTATGAATCTTCCAAATCGTGCTTCGGCGAACAGTTTTTCAGCTCCTATCAAATCTTCTGGAGGTGAGAAAGTACATTTCAATCTTCATGCAGCGTAGTATTTTGTTACTTCTACTCCAGTTGAATTAGAGTGCTTGTCCATCTTGAATAGGATTTCGTGATTCTCTTGATGACAAGTCGAAGGCTAATCTGGTTCAAATCAAAGGAAGATTTTCAGTAACATCAGAAAACTTAGATCTTGCAAAGGTAGGTCTAATTTTTCCTCTTCTTTGACAATTACTAACCAGACCAACCCAGTCTAGGATGTTCCATTAAGTACAACCCCATGTCGATCTCCAAGAGTTTGATTTAGTCTCCGCGTTACTAGTTTAGACTAATGATTCTCCTCGCCTGAGTTTTACCTGATCAATGCATACTCTGAAATCCACAGGCATCCCCTCTGAGAAAATCCGCCAGTGTTGGAAATTGGGTACTTGAATCTAAAATGGTCAGTTCGACGAAGAGTTCTTTTAATCACAGCAGAGTTTCTCTGTCCTAATCACAACAATCTTCTTTCTCCATCAACAGCCAACAGGTCAGCCCATCAAGGAGTTGAGTGGTCAGCATGCGGCTCCCTCATTCATCATGCCTCAGCTTCAAAATCTGTTCCAGCAAAATTCAATACAGCAGGTGAGAAAAGAAGTATATGAACATTATCACACTGAGACATCAATTTAACTTGATTGTATAGTTCCTGAAATTTTGTTCTGTAATTGATGGAACTCTGTGACATCCAGGATCTTATTATGAATCTACTGAATAGCTTACAAGCTGCTGAAGCAACAGATGGTAATGAAAGACACTTCAATCCATTGTTTTTGTAAGAACAATGAAGTATAGCGGTAGATGTTTAACTCTCACCCTTGTTCTAGGTTCGCAAAATGGAAAGGTGCCACCTTTGCCTCGAGGATCTGACAGCAATGGAGTCGTAAGTAGATTTATCAACTTTTTTCTATGGATTATTTTGCGATTTTCTCACGTAAATCATGCCCATCACATTCTTTGCTTTTTTATTCGGATCACAGGTTGTTGAACCCACAGCTTCAGAGAGAGAAAGGTTACTACTTACCAAGATCTCTGAGCTTCGAGCAAGGTTTTTCCTCGTCTTCCATAAATCAGACCTTTCTTATTAGGGAAAGATTTGGTAGTCATTGTAATTGCTTCTCAAATTCAATTTATTTAGGATGCGCGAGTTGACGGAAGAACTTGAAGCAGAAAAATCAAAACACACCCAAGTAAGTTGACACTCGTAATCTCAAGAACTTGTAAACGTCACATTATCTAGTGGCCAACTCGTGGAAAGAATTTGCTAGTTGTTGAAACTAAAACTACACCGAGTAAATCTAATTTACCGTACCATATCATCAAGCATCTCGTGTTTTATCTGTTTTATCTACAGCTGCAGCAGAAACTTGAATCAGACACCGGTCGCGAGCAATTGTAATCAGAGACCGGAACATTGAGCTACACAGAAGCTTCAGGAGAAAGAGGAAAGTATATTTTGTACACTAAAGAAAACAGAGAACTCTGTTCTTGAAAGCAAAGGGACAGAAATAGACATCATCGGACATTTGTTTGTGACAGGAGAAACCAGAAAAAACATAGAGAAATAAATAGAGAAGAAAGCTCGTGGTCATGAAAAATTTGTAAGTTTATTTAATATGAAGTTAAAATATCCTTTTTGTTG